TTGGCTGCAGGCCCCGATGTCCCCTCCCGGTCCCGGGGTGGCTGCAGTCCCCAATGTCCCCTTGCTGTCCCGGGTGGCTGCAGCCCCCAATGTCCCCTCGCTGTCCCCGGTGGCTGCAGTCCGCAATGTCCCTTCGCTGTCCCGGTGTGGCTGCAGTCCCCCATGTCCCCTCCCTGTCCAGAGGTGGCTGCAGTCCCCAACGTCCCCTCGCTGTCCCAGGTGGCTGCAGCTCCCAATGTCCCCTCGCTGTCCCAGGGCAGCTGCAGCCCCCCACGTCCCCTCGCTGTCCCACATGTCCCAGCACCCGCTTTGCCTCCGCAGAGCACCCCTAGCTCCAGATGGACGCGCCACCTCCGCGCGACGTCCTCCGGGGAGGGAAAAGCCAGGCCGCATCCCCGGGAGCGACGGATCCTGGTGGGAAGGGGGCCAAGAGCAGCTCAGCAGGGTCCCACACAACAAGGCTCAGAGAGATGGGGACATGTCACAGATGGGGTCCCCCATCTCCCCCATCGCTCGGGAGGGCAGGACCTCAGCCTGCCCCAACCCACCTGGATTCGCCCAGCTCCATCCCCAAGTGGCCACCTCTTCCCCGGGGCCTTGGAGGTGTCTTCCCTTCCCCAGACCAGCCCTGAGCCCCAGTTCCTCGGGATGTCCTGTTGGTCCTAGGGTGGTTTCCACGTGTCCGTACGAACACACAGCCCTGCAAAGAGTCTTTGTTTTTTCCGCCCTGCTTCAGCAAAGGAAATCAAAAGTGACATGAAACCCTTCTTCAAACGCATGAGGAGCAGGAATACCACCAGGGAGACCTCGAGCAGGGTGAAAGGAGCAATGAGAGAAGAAAAGGCCGCTGCCAAGCTGCCGAATGAATGATTTGCATGGACGCCAGCCAGGGACAAAGCTGGGGATGTTCCCACCCTGAATCCTGCCCTAGGATGCTCAGTCTGGGATGAAATTGGGGGATCTCTGCAAGAGGGGTTAAAGCAACCAGATGAGTGTAAATAAATCACCAGGACCAGCCTGTATCTCCCAGGAGCTGCTGTTTCCATAGGGATGTGGTCCTGCCAGTGCCTGCGTCCTTGGTGCCTCCGGGCCACGGTCTCCAGATCTGTTCTGGTGCCCATGTCTGAGAGAGGAGATGAAGCTGGAAGGGCTCAGGGGAGGAAATCAAAGCTGAGGGTAGTGGGGAAAGCTGCAGAGGGACTGGGAGACACCCAAGGGGAATGTTACAGAGGGAGGGCTCCAAAATGCAAGATCCACCATTCCCTGCCTCTTCCCGCCCCAAAAGCGGGGATCAAAAACTCCCCATAGGAGCCACGTTAAAAATAGTAGAGAAACAGATAAGGAGGTGAGAAAACTCCTCGATTCCCTGCAATTCCCCTTGCAGGTGAAATTCCAGCATTTCCCCCGCCAGTGTCAGGCGGCAGGAGCCGGTGTCAGGGCTGCGTGGGGTGGAGGGGTGGGAATCGTCACCCCCCGCCGGCTGCTCCGTCGCCGCTGTCCCGGGCAGGAGCAGGAGCGCCCGGGAAGATCCGCGCCCTTCGTGTGCCACCCGCCTGTCCCCCGGCCCCGGTGCTTTCCCGGGCACGAGGCTTCCTGCTCCTTCGGTGCCAGGGAACTCCCAGCTGCTGTTTCTGCCCCATCCCTTCAGCTCGGGGACTTCCAAAGCCAACAGCTCCCATGGGTGACTCCTTCCAGCTCTGTCCCCTGGCTGACACTCGCTGCAGCCCTGCCCTGTCTATGAGGTCCCAGGATCTGAGGACATGGGGACAGATGCTCCTGGGTGTCCCCCCAGGTGCCTTCACTGCTCAATTTGCCTTAGCTGGTCTGTCCCCAAGTCCTGAGCCAAGTCTGCCCATATCCCAGCTGGGGGTCTGTCCCGCCACCCCTCCTGGTCCTGTTGGCTTGAACATGGGATCTCTCCTGCCATCCGACCCACGGAAGGACACATCAAGGGGAAGGTCCTCGGGCACGTGCTCATCTCTGCCCCTCTCCAGCACACGGCCCTGCCGTTCCTGGGCTCCCTGCCAACCTGCTGGCTCCGCAGCCTCC